AAAACAATTTTTGTGATGGTTTGTATTTTTTGTGCTCTGTATGGAACATTAGTGCCTGTTTAAGTGATGAACTCCATTACTTGTGTTTGTTTTCAGACATGATATTATACTTGTGATACTTGTGCTACAACTTTTTGGCCTGTGCTACAAAACTTTCAACCTCTGTAGCACCAGTAAAAAAAGTTAAAAAAGTTAACGTACAGCCCTGATATAATTTCATATACATCATTTGATTTAATAATAACCCAATTTGTAGCAAAACAGAATGTTCTGACTAGCTTTGTGAAATTATACTACATGCCTGAACGAAGCAAACAGCAGAAGCTCTGAATGAGACGCAGATTCACTCTCTGACAGCAGGAGGCGCTTCTGGAACACCAGATACAGTGTTTCCTTGGTTACCGCTGTAAACAAAGCAGCTCTGCGCTGAAACACGGCTTTAATATGAACTATACAGAGACGAGATGAAAAGAAAATACCACGTAAACTTTTCTGAAGACAGTCAGTTCCCCTCAGATACACATTCATATAAACCCCCAAATCAATATTGAGGCCTGTGTTAACGGCGTTTACAGACTTCATATTTTCACATAAATGACATTTTGGAAAACGATTGCATTGCAACGCAGTTTGTGCAAGTCCAGAACAGGGGCAGAAGTTCGTCCGTCCTACACACGTGACTGACCACTCACACCAACAGGAGGAGGAAGGTCGTGTTACTCTCTACACTGCACTCAACCGGAAGGATTCCTACACTTTCAGTCTTTGAGGAGACATGAAAAACAGTGCATACCGCAGGAACGGTATAACGGAAAATATTAACGGTTTTGAAACCGTGACATTTTCAAATCGCGGTATACCTTGAAACCGGTAATCGGCCCAGGCCTAATTGCATTGCGTTTATTATAAATTATTTATTCTTGCAAATTTTTTAATGCATGTGCCCTTGTAATTAGAGATGCACCAATACTGAAGTTCTCCACCGATAACCGATTATTCAGAATGATATCTGCCGATACCGATAATTTGATTTTAAGAAAAAAAAAACAATTTCCTTAATTTTCTTAAGGAAAAAAATCTCTCCTAACCAATGCTGTAAACTATACTGGGAACCCTCTCATTTGGTACATTGCAGTTATAGCCTATTAAAGGTTAAAATTAATAACAGAGCTATTATATTCAACTGCTATTTATTTTCAAATATAATAATTACACTCAAATAAAAACTGAATTGTCTATATACAACTAAGTTGCACATAACGTTTTCATAAACGACTGTCTTCATGTCAGATTTGTCAGAGAATGAGCTCCTCTTTAGTGTTTTTTGTAGCTGAGTGGAAGAGACTCATACTCCACGCTGTCGCTTGAACTAAAGCGGTTACACAGTGATCTGTCACGCCACATTTAAAAGCGTCAAAACAGCATTTATTGTTTGAATTTCGTGACAGAATTTGACAAATGAGACTTTGTTTCTTATCACAAGTAACAAAGCACAAAACTCTTTGTGATTATTGGATGGGAGGTGCATTGTTTGGTTTTGAGGAAAAAAAAGCGTGGATCTGGCAAACCCTGGCTTGAACTACGGGTGATTCATTGGGTCAAATAGAGCCTGCTTTAATGTTGTGACAGCCCTAGATTCAACACGGGAGATTTTCTTCACACATTGTATAACTTGCAGTCTGACAAGTTTTGACCCCCTCCTTTTGATTGACAGGATATAATTGGCCCTGATCATCAGCTGTTTTTATCAATATAGTCAACGGACTATATTGACGGATAGTCAAAAAAATAGCTTTTATTGGCCAATACATTGGTGCATCTCTACTTGTAATCAAAAACATTAACATCCCCTCCTTCTTGCAACAAAATCTCACATGCCGCAATTAGCAAACGACAATGATCCAGTCCATCACAGTTGTACAAAATCAAGTACTTTTTTTTTTTTCTTGTTTGAGAAGTGGCTTTACTCAGATATGCATCTCTAGGAAAGAAAAGATGACTGCAATATCTCTTTCATGCTGATTTTAAATAGCACAAGTTAAAGCACATGACATGTTTGCACATTTGTTTTTTAAAATGTATATTAATTGATTGTCTGCCTCTTGACCCTTCCCACAGTGTTCAAGTCAAACCGTAGTGAGATGGATTGGGTGCTGAAACGCTCCGGTCCCACAGACTATGACAGCAGCAGTGGTTGTATGTTGCGTCTAAGAGGACTGCCGTTCGGCTGCAGTAAAGAAGAAATTGTACAGTTCTTTTCAGGTACATCTGTTGTTTCACTTCAACACCTCCTAGACTTGCAGGTATTGCAAGGACATCTTTTTAAAACTACTGAAAATTGTGTTTTGTGGTTTTTGAATGATGTCAGTTCTTCCTTTTTATGTCTTTATATAGTCAGTCAGATCATATTGTGAAGGTTTTTGTTTTTATATACTCTTCTAACTGTCATATCAACAGATTATTAAGCATGTTTTGGTTATATTTAACAATTTATATGTCACCAGCATCACCGAGGCAGGTGTGCTATGATTTTTAGATTAATGGAGTTATCCTTTGTGGTTTGCTCTAGGGTTTTTGTCTGACATAGGGAATGATTTTGACATCATCAGGGCTCATTTGGGGGGGGATGTATTTTCTGCAGATGAGAATGTTGCGGCTCTTTAACATGTTTCCCCATGTGGGGTTATTTGTCCTTGGGTTAAAGGGTTGAAAATCGTGCCAAATGGGATAACATTGCCGATGGACTACCAGGGGAGGAGCACAGGGGAAGCCTTCGTGCAGTTTGCCTCAAAGGAGATAGCAGAAAAGGCTCTGGGGAAACACAAGGAAAGAATAGGGCACAGGTGGGGCTGGCAAGACTGGGCTGGGTGCTAATGCTCTCTCTAAATGTGGGGTGGGGGGTCATGCATCTTTCTGCTCTGGAAAAAGATGGTATGATCATGTTATTACACTTGAAATGTTTAATTTTACATAAACATGTGACATGAGGGGACAAAAAATAGGCAGAAATATGGTTTCATAATGTGGTTGGGCAACATACTGCAGAAGCAAAGGAGCCTTTTTATAACAGGCACTATACAATACTTTTAAGATTCTGTTTCTGTCTGAAATTGGCCTTTAGATACGGTTAAATTTTATGACTGGGCAGAATTTCAGACACTTGCTACTTCTCCCTCTGGTCAATAACTGACAGTAAATTGTCAGTTATTGTGATGCCATAATGAATTTAGTCAGTGGGCCCCAAATGCTGTCTTCCCTAAAATCTTCCTCATTGCTGTTAAACATTCAGCAGCCTGTACGTTTAACATGTTGCATTTCAAAATAAACTCAGGTACATAGAGATATTCAAAAGCAGCCGAAATGAAATGCGTGCATACTACGAAGTACCTCGGAGGATGATGGGACAGAGGCCTAGTCCATATGACAGACCCGTAATGGGACGCGGGAGCTTTTTTGGGTCCAGTCCTGGAAGGGGAGGTGCCGTCCTGGACCAGGTGCGCAGCGGAGGCGCTTACAGTGGTGGTATGCTACTTTAATAGTGCTTAGTAACTTTATTAACTCTTACTGGGTTTTAGTTAATAAGATGGATAGCTAATTAACAAATATGGGTTTGAATGGCTATGAACATTACCATTCAAATGTTTGGGCTCAGAAGGATTTTATAAAAAAAATAAAAATAAAATGGAAATAATACTTTTATACTGCAGGGGTGCATTCAATTGATCAAAAGTGACAGTAAAGACATTTATAATGTTATAAAATATTTATATTTTTAAATAAATGCTAATTCATCAAATAATCATTAAAAATATATTACCCTTTCCACAAAAATATTAAGTATTATAATACAAAATACAAATCTCTTGAGCAGCAAATCAGCATATTAGAATGATTTCTGAAGGGTCATGTGACATTAAATACTGAAGTAATAGCTACTGAAAATTCAGCTTAAAATAGTAATAATATGTCACAGTATTGCTACTTTTTTTTTTTTTTTTACAGTATTTTTGATCAAATAAATGTTGCCTTGGTTAGCATAAGAGTTTTTCCTAAAAAAAAAAAAAATCTTACTGATCTCAAACTTTTGAACAGTTCTTTCACTGACAGGAAGTGATCTAAAAGTATTGATTTGTCTCTCCTTCATAAGGATATGGTGGGTTTGACAACTACAATGGCTTTAACAACTACTGCTTTAGTAACGGCATGTTTGAAGAGCGTGTGCGCGATGATAGAGGAAAAGGAAGAATGGGGGGTCATGGCTACAGCAGCGATTCAAACTCAGGCTTTCACAGCGGCCATTTTGTTCATATGAGGGGCCTACCGTTCCGCGCTACAGAGACAGATATTGCACATGTAAGAAAAACCACAGTGTTGCCACTGGACACATTCTTACAATATTTTGTTATACAGTAAAGTATTATTGCCTTTGTGTGAGTGTTTTGTTTCTTTTTCAGTTCTTTACCCCTTTAAATCCTGTGAGGGTGCACATTGATGTAGGACCTAATGGAAAGTCTACAGGAGAGGCAGATGTTGAGTTCAGATCTCACGAAGATGCTGTGTCTGCCATGTCAAAAGACAAGAATCATATGCGTAAGTTGTCTCCATTTCCAAACCTCTGTCTTAGTCAAACTGTACTGCTATCCTAATTTTTTTTTTTTTGAGTATCATATTTATCCTTGCACTGACTTCCTCCCTGCAGAGCATCGTTACATTGAGCTTTTCCTGAATTCAACTTCAAGTGGGCCGTCCGAAATGGGTTAGTATGACTGCGTGGAGATTGTTTTGTAATAGTTTTGTTGAAGAAGGTGTGAAGACAACATTCAAATCTATGTCTTTTGTTTTGAGGGCATAAAAACACTGCAGGCCGCGGAGGAGGTTTCTATGGCAACTCTAGCGGTATGGGCTCTCGAGGAAGTGGACTAAGGGAGATGTATTGAGGATGCTTAAAATTCATGCACTTTTCAACCCAAAGTTGGAACTTCCAGCATGGAAGGTCTTTTTATATGAATATGTTTTCACATGTTCCTATGAAATATGCCCACAATATTTTCCAGACTCGAAGAAAATTAAATCTAAATCCATATATATCTAATATATATATTTGAGATGTTGCATATAGATTGACCGGCTACTGTACATTTTGCTTAATGAATTTTATATGACATTCTGTGTTAAAGTCTAACTAAAGATATGCGCTTTGTATGTATTTTGACTCAAAAATGAGTGTGAATAGCTTGAAGCCCAAGTTGCGTGTTAGACTGCACTTTCGTTTTCTTTCCCAAAGCAATAACATCATTTTGGATGTTTACCTGTTTTTGCTGCTCAGTAAAATTTCTAATTGAAACCTGTGAAATTTACACATCCATGGAATAAAACCTTTTATGGATACATTTTATTTTTGACCTAAGAATGTTCATTGAAGACAACTGTAATGTAAGAACAAAGTGTGATATCTTGCTTTTGGTCAAAGCTAGATGAAACATATGGCATCAGTCCATTCATATATTGTTTTTTTTAATACACTGGAAGATTTGTGTAGCCTTGAGTTTTGTTCATTACGGTTTAAAACTTAAGGATCAGTAGGATTTAAAAAATGTTTTGGCTGGATTTATTTGATCAAAAATACTATAAAACGGTAATATTATGAAATAATTTAAATATTGTTACAGTTTAAATAATAAACTGTATTTTAAATTGATTTATTCCTGTGATGGCAAAGCTGAATTCTCAGCAGCCATTGCTTCAGTCTTCAGTGTCACATGATCCTTCAGAAATCATTCTAATATTCTTATGTGCTCAAGAAACATTTCTTGTTTTTATGAATGTTGAAAACAGTTGCGCTGCCCAACATTCCATCTTCCACATGCATTCCGTCATCTGATATATAAAGCAGGAAAAAGGAAATCTTTACTGATTTTTATAAAGTAACCACAACATTAACTTTTATATTTTCAATGTTATATTATCAAGATGAACGATTACTGGACTGAAGCAACTTAGGTTTACTTAGAAGAGTTACGCGTCTGCTGAATAAAACAATTTCTTTCAAAACAAACAAACAAAACAAATCTTACTGACCCCAAACCTTTGAACAATAGTGTGTGTACTGCGGCACCTAAATGCTAAAATCCATCACTCGAGAAGTGGAACTATAATCAACTTTAGTGGTTTAAGGCTATGTACAGTTTCATACATAAACTTCACATTTAAGTTAACAGCTGTATTTTGAGTAATTATCCAGACAAACGTTAGCACAAATACTCAAAATGTGTAGTGTTCCAGTTCTGTACCAAGGTAAATCTGCAATTGTGAAATAATACCGTTTGCAGACAAGAAACCTGAACACCATATTCAGAACATTATTTCTGTGCTTTTTGACGTGAATCCACCTCAGTCATTCTCGAGCAGCACTGACAACATTTTACTTGTATATACATACCGTTTTTGCCCATCTAGATTCAGGGAAACATTTCAAATCCTTATTTGTCAGTTTGGCTTGTTATACAGGCACATATATGAATGTAAGGTTATGTATTTCAACTGAATTTGAAATGTAATTGCTCAAGAAAAGATATCCCTTTAAGTAACTGCCTTTGCTTACTTTTGAATCTTGAGGAATGAAACCTGTTCACCCTTATATATCTAAAGTATACAATGCATGGGAGTGTTGTACTAGTACTGTATAAATCATCTAAATCAGTCTACTTGCAGCCCAGATGGAGGCACTCGGTCATTAATCCATTTGTAAACTCATTTCTTTCATTGCACGCTCTGTGACAAACACTGCATTGGCCATCTGCACAAGTGCCATTAAGTCTTCTCTGAGGCAACAGGCTTTATCCTATGTAAAATGTAAACTTCAAACACAGAGAAACGGGTGCATCCATTTTGGTCACTCTGACGATGCGGGACAGCACAGTCTGTGAGTTAAAGCTGATTTTGGCCCTTGTTACGATGTGCTGTCATTTCTATCTTACGTGGCATTGGAGGAGCAGCGCTGGAGGAGCAGAGCGTGGCAGGTGTCGCAGACTCTCACGGGTTTGGGTGAAGCAGGGAGCGGCAGCTCATTATCCGAGCAGGCATTGCAGAAGATCTCTCCACAGTTCCTGCAGTGGTGCTGTTCAAACAAAGACAAGCAAGAGAGCTTTCAGTTAAAGGGCCTGTTGTCTTTTGGTCTTTTGGCTGTTGTCTTTTGGTTTGGATCGGACTCAAAATGACTCCGTGGAATCTTCACAACTGATATTTTGGAATTCATCCAAACAGTTGCTCTGGGGAATTTCCTTTTAGTTGTTTTTCATGGGAGTTATATATATATATATATATAAATCAAACGTTTTCAGAGTAAGGTCCCATTTAAAGATAAAACAATAGCAACAGATCTTTTTTTCCTGTATTATGACATACATCCAAGTGAAATAGATTATCAAAATAGAAAAAAAAATGCTTGGCATGGATGCAGATATGAATGTCGGTTTGCAGTTAATTTTATGAGAAGGGGCGGGGTTTAGGCAGATTAAATCTGTGTCCCAATTCAGGGCTGCATTCTTAGAAGTCCACAAAGATCGAACTGAATGTTGTTAAACGGAAAATTCTAGCCTACAGAAGATTGTTCTTGTTGCCTAGCAACTGTGACCGCCGCATTTGACGAGCGCCAGGACTTTTATGAAAGTAATATTCAACTGTCTGAAAACAAACCAGGGTTCACAACCGGTCTAAATATGTTCACCTTGGTCCATTATATACTTAAAAAAAAGAATAAACTACCAATAAAATCACATCTTGGTAAGATATGTCAACATTTGAACCGCTTTAAAAAATTATTATTTTTTTTTTTACATTTGTATCATTAGATATTTGAGCAAGTTAACACCAAATATTAACATTTAAAAGTTGTAATCTGCCATTTTGAAAGTCCTGTCGTCTGTCTAGGCCAGGCCGCGTTGCATCCTTTGTAGATCGGGAAATAAAGGACTTAATTCAAGGTCGCATTTGAGACTTTGAAATGGGACAGCTTTGTCGCACCACTGTGACGCATTCGGTCTTGGAATGCTGCTTTTCGAAGGACACAGCTTAAATGTTTGGAGAGGTCTGGCATACGTCACCAGAAAGAAGTCTGTAGTTTCACTGGAGGATCAAGTAATGACATTTTAATTAAATATTGGGATGTCCTAAAAAAATTAAACGTATGGATGATAGACCCTTCACAGTAAGATCAATAACATGCATTTAGAAAAGTTTTCATTTCATGCCGACTTCAACAGTACAGAGCACCACTTGCCAACTCAGTCTTTTATTCAGGCGTCATCTAATCCTCATTTGGAAATGTTTTCAAGTCTTAAATCCAGTACGGTCTTTGTGCCAGTGAATTTCTTTATTTAGAGCAGTTGAATTTGTGTGGATGTGTGAGATTGGACAGCAAGCTGTGATAGAGACAGATGTATTACAGCGTAGCAATTTGGTTCTGACCTTTCTCCTGGAGATTGAAAATTCCTTCTCACAAAGCTTGCAATGCGTAGCATCTTTGTCCTTCAGCCAAACCTGTCCACCCTGAAATCAATTGTTTATTAATATGAACAAGTTCAATTACTCAAGAAACTTTGACAATTTTCTTACAAAAAAAAAGCACTGTGATGGTTTCAGATGGTACTTTGATATACTGTATATCATGGTACATGTCCACAAACATGTTCCAGGTACTTTTTTGTTTATCTCAAACAATGTTTCAAACCTGAAGTGCCTTGTTGGCTTCTTTTATATCTTCGATTTTCAACTTTGACCTAAACAAGAAAAATGTGTGTATCAGTAAAAGAATAACATGATTTGAAGGCTCCCAAATGGCAATTATATATAAATCCTACATACTCGCTGAGTTTGCAGCCCAGCTCCTCCAGCGCCTGTTCCTGCTCTTCACAAATTCCCTTCAGCTGCGTATTCTCATCCTGCAACCTGTGAAACTCCTGATAAGACACAAGGGCACGTCAGAGCCCAAGACAGGATGTTTGCATTCAGCACAACGAAAACATCCATGAAGAAGCATTTTAAATGACACAAACACCTTAATCCTCATACAGATGTATTGTGGACTTAATGGTTATTATATTTCTCTCCCTCGCCATTGTTGAGATGAGAAACTCATCTTACTTTTTTGAGTCCGTTGATTTGCTGTGCTTCAGCAGTGAGTTGTGCGATGGTCTCTCGTTCTCTTTCTAATTCATTCTGTAACGTCTGCCGCCAGTCCCTCTCTATTTTCATGTCTGTTTCCAGCTGCATCCTAAACAAAAAGTGTCAATTAAAATCCACTTCCTATTTTCCACTCCAGCATAAATGGGACATTGTGATACAAATTCTAAAATTCTAATTCTCTTCCATAGCCGTTGCAAAACTTACATTTGTTTCTCTCTCTGGGCAATCTGCTTTTGGAGACTGTCAGCTTTGTTTGTGAAGTCCTGCTTGAATTTGCGCACCCCGTCTTCGGCACCGGCACGTTCCCTCTCGGCATCCTGCAATCTGGTGTAATTCAAACCAACTGGGTAAAACTACGGCTCTGAATGGAATGGAATGGGCGGGAATGTATTGGAACAAATGGGAAACAAAATAAAAAGATGGCCACAATTCAACAGCCACAATAGAGCGGGAACAAATACAGAGCCAGACGACAGAAATGTTGCGCTGCGGGAAAAGCCAGAAAGTTGAAAAGAGTTGGCAATTTCATAAGTGTCGAGGTTACTTTGATTTTCTAACGTTTTTTGACAAATAATTCACAAAGTAAACAGTGACGAGTAGTTAAAACATCAAATTTATTGAAGTCTGTAATAAAAGACAACGTCATATTTGTGGTTTCTTTGACTGTTAAACGTTACAGGTAAATATTTACGCTAGAGAACCACAAGAAAGATTTGCTCACTAAATAGTATGTGGAAAAACAGTAACTATCATCAAATAAAACTTAAAAGGGGGCTAGTGAAGAATGATCAACTCATCACTTTTAAGAACAGTGCATATGGCCACACAACTAGCGTTAAGTAACAAACAGCAAATGTATCTTAGTATCAGAAGGAAATATCTTTGACAAGTTTGTATTGGTGCTCGGTGTCTGTGCTAGCGCATTTTACAAATGACATAGCAAGAGTTCTTGTCTGGCTGAGTAGGTCCTTGTCACTATTTGTTGATCGAGGAAAAACATGGAATTAGAGGAAAGGAGAAGATGAGAAAAAAAGAAATGAAAAGGGGAACAAAAAGGGAAAGAGGATGTAAATATCAGTGAATTTCAAATTCATCCCAAAGCTTTAAGAACTTGTTAAGCAGTGCAGTCATAAAACATCAGAAATACAATGGCGGTAAATCAACAGAAGAAAGGGAAGGATGATTCATGTGGACAGAGAAATGGACATGACAGCACTACGTCACCACAAGAAAATAACACAAATGCTGAAGGATGAGCGGTCAGATGAGAGAAAGCCATTCAATGCGCCTTCAGAATACAAGCATGCAAAGTCCTTTGCATGCTATCAGGTATCTGACACTTCTAGACCCTCTGAAAACTGATTCTACTGGTGAAACAAAAGCACTGATGGTTTGGACACCATCAATGCACACTAATTTGATTTAGGCTGTAAAAGCAGATATCATATCCTGAAATGCATTTACACTGGTACACTAGCGTTCAAAAGTTGGGGGTCGGTAAGATTTTTCAATGTTTTTGAAAGAAGTCTCTTGCATTTATTAGTTCAAAAATACAGTAAAAACAGTAATATTGTGAGATATTATTACTATTAAAAATAACTTTTTATATTGTAATTTTACGATGTATTTTATTCCTGTGAAGGCAAAGCTGAATTTTCAGCAAACATTACTCCAGTCTTCATCCTTCAGAAATCATTCCTGATTTTTTTTTTTTTTTCAGGATTCTTTAAGTAGAAAGTTCAAAAGAGCAGCACTCTTATAATGTTAACTCTTTTGTAACATTATAATTGTCTTTCACTTTTGATCATGTTAATGTGCCCTTGCTTAAAAAAGAAACTCACTGACCTCAAACATTTGAATAGTAGTATATATGCTACTTTCTGCAAACAAAAATCTGAATTTCTCTGAACTGAACAAAACCTTACTTAAAAATTTGAACCGGCCAAAAATGTTTTGAAAAGATTATATATTCATCATATAATACAAGGTTAAAAATCAGGCTAAATTAAATATTCTAATTATATTCAAATAAACAATTGAAACACTCGAAAACGACTGAAAATGTTCTGAATGCACTTCAGGAGTATGATGACTAAACGTTATGCTCGACATGATTCTAAATAAATTAGGAACTGCTTCTCACCTTTGTTCTAGTTGTTTCATAGTCGCCGTTATCTGATTGGTCTTCTCCTCCAACCGTGCGATCATGTCATTTTTTTGTCTCATGCTGTCATCTGAAGACTGTTGATGATTAAATAGTTTGATTACAACATATTTTAACCACAAATTGTGAAGAACACCTAACAAAAGATGTTTTACCTGCATTTTTTGGTACATCTCCACATTGATGGATTTAACTTCATCTAATTGGTGCCGAAGTCCAATCAGAGTGTCTTGCTTTTCATGGATGTCCTTTTCTAACAGTTTCATGGCCATTTCCATCTCCTGCTTCATGCTCACCTGCACAACCAGTTCGTTCTCCACGTCCTTGAGCACAGATACATTCAAAAACAGGTTTGACCTCTTTTAAATGCCAGTGTGCCACTGCACAGTCTGAATAGCAGGTTCCTTTTTTATATGTAAACACAGACCTGCCTGAGTTGACATTCCTCTTTGAGTTGGCGTCTTGCCTCATTGTACATTTCATCCAGGCCCTGCCTTGACTGCTTGTACGTGTCAAGCTCACAGTTCAAATCTCCTTCTGCAATCTGAATAGAGTACAGTGCATGTACAGTATACAGCAATTATAATGTATACTGAATATTGTATTTGGCTTGCACATTGATTTATGAAATCCTACAATTATTATTGTGTAAACCTAGGGTTCAGAAAGCAAAGGGGTGTTGGGGAAAAAATTTAATATTTTACAGATCAAATTTTTCACACATAATATTTTTATTGCTTTAAACATAAATGGATTATAAAAACTGGCAGAAAGTTCTTCAAGGACACATAATATAATGTTCATAAGAACTATATAATAAGTTTGTGTACATGAACTACTATCTGCCTTTCTGAATAAGTATATATGTTGTATATAAACCCATAAAAAAAACACTCAACAATACCTCAAGACGCTGTTGTGCTTTCATAAGAATGACTGAATTTTCTGTTCTGAGTTGGTGGTTCTCTTCCTGTAATTTAATTATATTGTTTTTTGCTATTGCCAACTGCAATAAAAAAGATGACAGCAACAAGTTAGTATAGAATATTTCTATTTCGCAGATGAGACTTATTCTTCTGAAATCAAAGAGTACCTCTTCGATGAGTTTGGAGTTGGATTTTTCTAAGGACTCCACACGTCCCTGTAAGCCTTGAACTGTAGAACTTTGTCCAAGACAAAGTTTTAGATAAAATTCATAAACGCAAAGTTTTAAAGGGCTTTGGTAGATTAATCGGTTTTTAAAAGCCACAATCACTCATCCTAAATATATCACAAAAGCTTTAGAAAGAGCATGAACTTACTTCAGCTGCCTATTTAATTCTTCAACATAGTTCTTCTGATCCAAAATAGCTGAAATTTGTCCATTTCTATTCAAAACATATTCATGATGGAGGTTATTCGAACAGCATAATACATCAAGGTAATTATAGTGATTTAATGTAATCAATTATTGTCCAAGTGTACTTTCTACCTTTCTTCACTTCTGTAGTCATCATCAATGTCATTTTTCAAGTACATGGAGAAGTCTATTACACCAACCTGTAGATTCCAATACAAGGCATTAATATTTCTCAGACAGAAGCTAGACAGCAGGTTATTAAAAATGGCCAATACACAACACTCATACTTGTGTATCGAGGTCCTCGCCCTTCACACATAAGTTGGCATCTATGACGTTAAGTCCCACCAGGAGACCAACGATGACGGCTCCCTCCTCCTCCAGCATCACTGCCGAGTTCTCATAGAACTCACTGCAAATGCACACACACACAAATGCGTTGACATTTATCATTGGTTTAGGTGTATCAAAACAAAAAATATAAATACTGTAGATATACGGAGAAAGAACATTTCTATTGATGCAGCTTAAGGCCCCGAATCCACCAAAGCATTTTTTTCCCAAGGCTAGCGTATTTTTTTCAATTGTTTTCAATGGGATCGGCGCGTTTTTAAAAAGCCAGGAGCATGCCGAGCGCTGAGTGTCTTTTTCACGCTGAGTGCTCGGGCATTTTTTTCTCGGCGCCGAGAGTTGAAGAACGTTCAAGTTTGGGTAAAACGCAGCGTTCATCACTGTCACTTTTTAGTCAGCTGACCAATCACAGTGGAGGAGGGGTGGGACTAATACCAACCAACCGTCACACCCTGCTTGTACTACGACTGAACTGAACAACAATAAGAAGTTATTGCTTGTCTCCGAGTATTTGTGTCTTTACCAGATGGAATTGCCGGACTACCATATTATTGTTATGAAAAAAACAAAGGTTTTACATTTTTAACTAATATGTATTCTTTTTATCATAGTCGTAGAGTAGCTAGAAAAAAATCTGACCATATCGTTCAAATATGTGGGGTCAATACGATTTTTTTTTCTTTTATTCATCAAGAACTTTCTATTCATCATTTCCAAAAAAATATTAAGTAGCACAAATGTTTTCAACATTGATAATAATTATAAGAAATGTTTCCTATTATTATTTTATTTATTCATTTAAATTATTAATTTTTTGTTTTTAATGTTTGTTTTTAATGTTTGTTTATGCATGCATATTTATCATCTTTGGAGTTGTTTCTGTTGTTTATTTGAAGCAAAACTCATGTCACACAATATTTTAAAGACTTGCTGTTAAATGATTGTATTTCTGTTTCCTTTAGGAAAGCACATTGTACATTGATCATGTTCATTCTGAATAAACATGTCAAAAAAAAAGAAAACAAATCAGCAAATTAGAATGATTTCTGAAGGATCATGTGACGTTGAAGACTGCAGTAATGACTGCTGAAAATTCAGCTTTACCATCACAGGAATAAATTACATTTTAAAATATATTACAATTGAAAACAGTTCATTTAAATTGCAATAATACTTCACAATAATACTGTTTTTAATGTTTATCAAATAAATGAAACCTTAGTGCGCATAAGAGACCTCTTTCAAAATCATTTAAAAAGTCTTACTGACCACAAACATTTAAATTGTAGTGTATATTTTAAATCTCAGGCAGTAGCAGCAGAAATACTTTTTTAGATGGCTACAAGTGATGCACACCCTCTAGCGAGCACTGTTCACTGCACTCTGATGGCCTGAGCAGGAAACACTAGTTTGTCTCAGACACATTTTATCACTTCTCTAATAACTAATTCTCCACCACAACTGTTGTGACAAAGGAAGAAAGAATGAATTACGGGTACTGGAAGGGAAAATACTAACCTAAGTATATCTTTCCTGGTGATGAGGAGACGTAGGTAATCCGCTAATTTCTTCTGCATCAATGCCAGCCTTAGCCATGCTCTGGCTCTGCCCAGAGGCGTCCTAACAAGCAAATACAGACATATTCAGGTTGATTTAAAAATGATAGATAGATAGATTGAAAGATAGATAGATAGAGAGAGAGAGAGAGAGAGAGAGCGAGTAGTGATATGCATAATTCTGGAAATAGACTTTACTTGCAGTTGCAAGTTTCAGTTTTGTCAGGGAAATAGAACTGAAATTTGCACTTCCCTATTCTGAATGTCACATTTCTTAATGCACTGAAGAATGACTGTGAGAAAGCATGTGTATATTTATATATTAGTGGGCTTGATTGCTTGAGTATTTGAAAAAAATTAAACAAAATTGAAGCACTTGAAGCATTGTGTGCAAAGTAATAGGGCTGCCCCCTAATAGTCGACTAATCATTAGTCGACCAAAATTCGCTTAGTCACAGAAAAAAAACAAAAAACTCCACAGGCGACGTCACGCAGTCCGTGACTAACGTTAACGGCTAGTCTACGGTAATACAGTAACAGTACATCGGGCAGGACATCCAAACACTCGCCTATCATTCATCGACCTCAAATATGGCTTATCATCTGAAATATGTAAGTGTTAGCAACTTTACATGTCCGCTCAATGTAATGTTAACCTAGAGAAATGTGCGATATTCAAGTGTCTGTGCGGAGTGTGAAGGGTAGCGCGCTCACTGCAGGACAGATGGAGGCGCCGGGGCGCTCACCTGCTCTTAAAATACTGGTCATTTTTGGTCATACAGATAAGAGTAATACATCTTTCGAATCTGTAAAGCCTCTACGTTTATTTGTGTGCTCTCACAATAAAAACAAAATCGCGCTTTTGTGAAATAATGAAAGCAAACAGGATGCGCTTTCTGCCATCTCGGTCTGTGAACTTGAGCGCGAAACACCGTGTATATCTTTACCTTACAGACATAAAAAATATATCTATAGAGAATGAAATGTCTACTTTCAAATGAACTAATTCAAATGGAAAACAAATATTCTCAGATTATGCAATCCGTATGAAACATACATACAGGCGCATCCACTACTGTGGAGTGTCGCTGACTTCATCTCTTAAACTGAGAATAAAGAAGGCACTAGTTTATCAAAATATTAAAATGTTAATGCAGTCTCCTTACTGTTTTTCCCTGACACATTCATAATCATTACTTCTGCCGGTGTGCTGTGGCAAGCTTTATGCGTGTGCTTGAGCACTTAGGCTATGTAGGCAATTAAAGGCTCATTATAATGATTTAAATGGTTTATTAATAAACGTGCGATTAGTCGACTAATGCTTAAAATGAACGGCTACAAGTCGACCAGAAAAATCCTTAGTCGAGGACAGCCCTACAAAGTAATCAATGTAACAGTAAGGCCAAATATTGTGTACTGAACATACTTAAGGCCAGGAAGGTCTCGTACACTGGCTGCGATTTCGCCTGCTTCTGGGCAGAGCTTCTCGACCATCTCCAGAGGCCCCCACAATGACTTGTTGTATCCAAGAAACGATTTCTTCACTGATGGAGATGGAGACAAGTGTGTTTGTTAAACAACTCAGGGTCACTGTATGTAATACAGAGTATGCAAACGCTTTGATGAAACACTCAAAATAGTATTCAAATTTTGTTGCAGCACTGGCTCACTGGACAAGAACTTCAGATGATCCGTCATCTGAGAATGATTTTAAAAAAGCATTTCCTCATTTTATTTTCCTATTAAAAAACATGGCATAACAGTGGTTGCTGTCTGTCTGGTGCCTAAGATTAACACTAACATAGGCCTATAGGAAATATATAAGAGATATTGATAACAGAGAATGTTTAACACCAAATCAGCTATTAAATATCTACCAAAAAGCAAGCATATAAAAACTTTGAATGATTATGATGTTTTGTATAACAGTTGTGGTTAACAGATGGTTCTCTGTGGCTGGCTGTTTCGTGATGGTTGAACATACTGTACCTTTGAGACCGTGTTTCAGGCAGTGCTCCATGACAACAAAGAACTGTTGCAGAGGCGGATAGTCAGAGTCCAGAGTTCGCCCAAAGCTCAGAGCCGACTCGATCAGGCCTTTGATGCTGAGCTTAGCCATATTAAGCAAGTTTGCTCGTTCCATTGCCATAGGATCTCGAAAGGCTGGAAGACACAAAGCCCACAGACTACTTTATCCAAAAATTATAGCATTATTGCCGAAATCAAGTTCTTACGGTAGAAGAACATGAAAATGAATAAACTCATCACAGCACTTTAACCTCTGGCTTTTCCTTAGAACTAACATGTGACCACACTTTGCAAGGCTGAGTTTAAATTTTAACAAACCCTTAAAGCGCTTTCACTGGTTTTGACTGTACTGTCATTCACCAGTCCTTAACAGCAGCATTTCACTTTTTTGTTTTGTGTTTCAACAACAAATACTGCACAAATTATATACTTATGCGTTTTAAATGATCAGTGATACACTGGACCCTGTTTTCACCATCAGGCTAAACAATAATCGTTATGCAAACATATTCAGACAGGCTCTGTCTAGCAAGTATACTGACACTGTGGTACTCTACTTCCCACTTATGTCGGTTGGTTCCCATTTCCAATTTATTTGGATATTATTATGTGAATGAGGCCTTTTTCTATCAGAATTGTGGGGTAAATAACTTCATATGTTTTGCATTTCTCCTTTCTTTTCAATAACTATTATTATTATTGAATTGTATGAATGAACTGGTGCTTTGTAGTCTTAAAACACCAAGATTTGTTAGATGCACAAATGAATACAAACCAACAAGGCACACTCTTCATGACATCATACCATTATGACATCATGCAGAAAATGTTGTATGGCAAGCCATTTTAACAAATTTCTTAAAACTAATATAACTAGTAACTAATTATGTTACTAACATTTACTAGTAAATATTATTCAGTACATGACTAGTATATTTTTCAAGTTCACTAGTAACTATTCATTACATACTAGTACTTATTCTTTAGAACCTAGACAGTTTTAATAATGACAAGTGATCACACTTACTTTTTTTGGTTGTCTTTTGTTATGATTAGTCCGAATGTATAATTTATAATTCAATTAAAAATCTCACTAGTAAGATTAAAAATGTTACTATTAACAATCGGAACACATAACTATTTGAATAGTCAGAGGTAACTAAACAATATAATAGTAGTATCTCTTACTAGTAAAAATGCAATAGCTATTAGCAATAATAATTATACTGCTATAGGCCTTCTAATCAAAAGCGTACAGTTGATACATAACTGCACAGATCCAAACTGAATTAAATGGCAAAAAAGTGCAATTTGTTACCAGCAATAATGGACTAGTTACATGGCACACTATTGGGATGCTGAGTAGTGGCAAATGGATATATAATAGTAAAAACAACTGAATGAATAGATGCTAAATCAGAATTGTATATATATTTAACTAGTCATTAAAAATAAGTACTAAAAACCAAACAGATGTTAGTTTTAAGCGATAAATGTTCGTTAAAACGGCTTGCCATACACGTAGGATCTACATCGGAACAACTGAATCCCGACCTCAGCCACGAGCTTTAATGTTATCCATAACCTACCCTTGGCACCCCATTCCTCGGGAAAAGTCGACGTTTTCGGCTCTGTCACTTTGGGCAAGACGTGAATGCCACCGGAGAAGGTTTCTGACGCTTTTCTGGCTAACGCGAATATAGGCGCCTGCCATCTCCCGTCTCCAGATTTCATGGCAGCGCCGCTCACTTTCTCAGCGGCCGATTTATCCTCCTGCAATCTGAGGATACCGAACACTTGCGCTCTCTCTTTGTTGCTCTCTGCTTCTGCCAACACAAGGTCCTGTTCTGCAGGTGTCGCCATCGTTAACGACAATTATTCAGGAATATCATACAGTTTATGATAACGCTTCACCTAACAACCACGGCGGTGATGTGTTGAGCGGCATTGTTAAACAGTTAACGACGTAATTCACGCGCTTTCCTTCGTGATGGTTTCCTAAGGCGACGTATGATTTCCATTCATATGATCATGGTATCTTTTGAGAACAAATGGCTAGATTGTAGATTTGTTTACACCTGAGCACTCCTGCACGATCCGTCTGCAGCAAAGGGGTGGTGTCATAACGATAAAAAGACGTAATTCAGTGGAAGAGTATGGATATACTACCCTCTACTGCTTGTATGAAACATTGTCCTGGACTATTAAGTATTTCATTTAGAAAATTCTGAAATAATCACTGGTTAACAGTCTTAACACATAATAGTTCTTAGATTATTATGGTTTATTGTAATAATGGGGGCAAGTATGGGGTAATTATAAAATTACCCCATACTTCGTTCACTCCATCATGCACTGACTCATTCACGTCTCTCCCTGGTGAGTGACTGCATTCATTTTTCAAAGACAAAACTGAAGAAAAACTCTTAAATGAGGTCTCTCTTTGAGGTAGATTTATTAGCATGCAAATTTAAATAAATTAAACTTTAATTGAACTAGGACTATGTGAAAAACAGTAAGCCAAATGAGTAGTATGTCTTCATTCACAGTATTCATAAACAGTAGGCGAAAAGTACCCGGATGAATACTTCTGCCAATTATGGTGTGCGCATACTATCCCATAAAGCCACAGTTGGAGAGGAGTTGTGAATGGCTGTGATGCAATGCAACTGGTGCTGATCCTGGCGGATGTAGTTTGTCTGAATTTCATTTATACTGAACATTTTTAGCAGTCACAAAGCAGGTTTCAAACCAGATGTAGTACCTACAGTACTAGACAATATGTGATTTCGGACCCAGCTTTGCTTTTTTTTTACAAATTGTTTGAGTGAACGATTGTGAGTCTTTCAGCACAAAACTTGCTTGTCACCACCAACTAACGTAAAGGTGTGGTTGCGGGCAAAATTGTCATTTGTCAATAGTGTAGAACACAGCTCACACAGAAGTCACTTTTAAACCAAGCAGCTTTGTTGGTTAATGTGATGCAATGCAACTGGTGCTGATCCTGGCGGATGTAGTTTGTCTGAATTTCATTTATACTGAACATTTTTAGCAGTCACAAAGCAGGTTTCAAACCAGATGTAGTACCTACAGTACTAGACAATATGTGATTTCGGACCCAGCTTTGCTTTTTTTTTACAAATTGTTTGAGTGAACGATTGTGAGTCTTTCAGCACAAAACTTGCTTGTCACCACCAACTAACGTAAAGGTGTGGTTGCGGGCAAAATTGTTATTTGTCAATAGTGTAGAACAGCTCACACAGAAGTCACTTTTAAACCAAGCAGCTTTGTTGGTTAACACGGCGAAGCAGTTGTGAAATCTGCACTGGGAATTTTTTCGCTGTTATGTGATATTCCAGACCGTGTGTATTCCTATTGAAATTTACGGAATTTTGCTTGCAAAAATTTGCCGAACAAAAGTAAATGTGTCCACATCTTAATGACGTAACCGTGGAAAGAGCCACTGAACAAATCAATAACTCTTTCAAAAAGATACAAGTCACTGGGATCAATCAAAATCCCACTATAAATTTTGAGTAATTTAAATGAACTGTAACTTCTTTTTATTGCAAGTGCATGTGTCACTCCAACAGTTCTGAAACTGAGGAATTCAAACTTGTGCTTTAAAATGAACACTAACAACCACCTCACTGGTGCTGAGTCAGGATTATTCTCCTTGTAGAGTAGGGTGTCACCATGCTGTGCTAGTTACAAAAGGGTAGGTCTGCATTTCCAAACATCTATAACTTACATACTTTGTATAGTTTTAGAATATTAAGTTCTAGAAGCTTACCTTTACTGTAGGCCAAATGCTCCATACTTTCACTATGGGAGATGCCCCACCGGTGGAGGCTCTGAGGGGAATACATGACTGCAGCTCCACAACCCCTTTCAGGGCAAAGATGAAGTTCTTGTTTCTCAGTGAGCGCTGAATACACTGAACACATAAAGACAATATATGGGTGGTTAACATTTAAAATCACTTCCATATGTCTAACTGAACTAATAGCATACCTATTGTCATTTATTCGTAACTAACTGAAATGTTGCAGAAAATAAAAGCTGATTGTCATACTGCTGCATACAGTTGCTGACCTACATCCAACATGTTTCTGTTGTTTTCTGCTGATCAGGATCTGGCTATCATATGACTCTTATTTCCTGCACCACTGTCCCGCCTCACATGGAAGGAATTGAATACACATTTCGACTGAACAGACAAAACACCTTAAGATTTCAGTGCAGTAAACATGTAGAGCTAATAACAACATGAAGTCAAACATCTCATGCTTTGTCATCTTGCTTAGGCACTTACTTCTGCTTTAAAATGTAACTGAATCACTCAGTGGTGCTGCAGCAACAAAATAATACACACTTACCCCTGTTAAGTCTACACCCTGTGCTGGTGTTCTTCTGGTACTATTGGGCCAGGAGAGCTGATTAGGTGAGGTGCAACCATTTGCTGCATTAGCGGGTTGTGGGGAGGAGATGTCTCTCGCTGGAACAGCTAAGTGCATTGGGTGCAGGGTAGCAGAGGCGGTCAAACAAAGGGGGTGGGACATGTGAGCCTACTGGTCAGCCAATAAGTATGGAGTTGCAGGCTACTCAGGAAGTGGGATTCTGAATGAGACTGCACTGCAAGAGTAATAAGCATGAATATGACAGGCATACCTCTAAGTATTAGAGCAAATCCTTTTTGCAACTGCATTTTGTGTGGTGATTTTGCGCATATTTCACATAAAATAATGATTATACACTACTGTTTAAAGAAAGAAGTACTTTTATTCAGCAAGGAAGCATTAAACTGATCAAAACTGACAACGTATTTAACATGGTTACAAAAAAATGCTATTTCAAATAAATGCTGTTAATTTGAACTTTCTAGTCAAAAAATGTATCACGGTTTTTTCACACACACACACACACACACACACACACACACACACACACACACACACACACAAGCAGCAACATTAAGCAGCATAACTGTAATATTGATAACATAAGAAATGTTTTTTTTTAGCACCAAACCAGCATATTTCATAATATTAGTTTTTACTGTATTTTACAGTTTTATACTGTATTGCTCAAATGAATGCAGCCTGGGTGAGCATAATAGACTAAAAAATAAAAAATAAATGTACCAACCCCAAACTTGTAAACTGTAGTGGAGGGTATTTCCACAAGGGTAATGCCATGTGTTCAACAAGGTTTTTTTCTGCGTTTGGACATTTAGATTTGTCACAATGAAACTGCAAAGGGGGAAATTCTCAGGTTTGCCTTATACAAACAAATCTGATCTCGTACTTATACAAACCTGTATTTGGTCTTTCTTTAAATAAATAAAATGAATAAAATGCCATGATTTTATTCAGTGGCTTCCATGAAATTCAGTACTAAAATCACTCTCCTTCTGTGCCTTATCTTTAACCAGAAGATGGCAGTGTCCTCCAAAAAGAGTAAAAAAAAAATCTAAATCTGTATTAATTTGGTTTTACACTACTTCTATTAGATTAGATCTTGCAATAATACTTTATTATTATTATTATTAATCAAGTGAAGTGGTCTTTCCACAATTAAACTAAGTGTGTTTCTAAGACACATCTTACAATTTCTTATTTCTGATTTGAAGCAGGAAAGATCGCAGACAGGCAGTATGAATCACATGTCTGAGTCTCAAAAAATCTCGCAAAATCATCATTCATTAATCATTAATAATCATTAATTAATCTCCATCACGACATTACTTTGATTACTTCAACTACTAGTCTTCAATTTAAAATAATCTTCCACTTCAGACTTGAAATTTTCACGAGTGGATTTCACATTTGTGATCCTCCTGATAGCATGAAGCTAAACAATGTTGTGATGAGAGGGCAAGTGGCAGTAAAGAGCTTTCATCTGATCCATTGTCTTAAAGTGCTCTGCATTAAACTCCAAACGTGTGTAGGGTTCTTTGAATGGATTCATTCATGCCTTTCATTCAAACAAACAAATCTTCAGCCTTTGCATATAAAACCTGTAACACTGAGTGTGATATGTGGCAGTGGGCCTATTTAAATATGCTCACTGTCCAGTAGATATAACCAGCCCAAAATAATAGCCATAGTTTGTAGTTCCATGGCACTCATTCAATATGTAGTAATTATGCTTTTTAATCTTTTAATCCAACAGTTCCAAAGACCTCCAGCATAACCAATCAGAGAATGATTCAAAATTGTGCATTTTCCACAATTCTGCATGATTTTTTAATAAACAGTGGGTTTGTTTAGTTACATCAACAACATTTTAAATTGAAAGCTTTCATCTGATCCATTGTCTTAAAGTGCTCTGCATTAAACTCCAAACGTGTGTAGGGTTCTTTGAATGGATTCATTCATGCCTTTCATTCAAACAAACAAATCTTCAGCCTTTGCATATAAAACCTGTAACACTGAGTGTGATATGTGGCAGTGGGCCTATTTAAATATGCTCACTGTCCAGTAGATATAACCAGCCCAAAATAATAGCCATAGTTTGTAGTTCCATGGCACTCATTCAATATGTAGTAATTATGCTTTTTAATCTTTTAATCCAACAGTTCCAAAGACCTCCAGCATAACCAATCAAAGAATGATTCAAAATTGTGCATTTTCCACAATTCTGCATGATTTTTAATAAACAGTGGGTTTATTTAGTTACATCAACAACATTTTAAATTGAATGCCAGGTATGTACAGTAACACTCTTAAAAATAAAGGTTATTTGGCCTTGATTGTTCCATGAAGAATCTTTAACAGCTTTTCCATTACACAATGGTGGAAAAGGTTCTTTAGATTTTTTTAAATGTTCTTCACACTAAGAAAACAATTGTTCTTTTAATGTGCCTTTACTGAAAGGCTCTTTGGGGAACCAAAAAACACCTTTTGGAACCTTTATTTTTATGTGTAGGAGCTTCAACACCATTCATGGGATATTAAAAGCATTAAAATTTACATTCCTCAAAATTTACATGTAATTGCACACTTTAGCTTTCCATCTATTTTATGCAATGTAACAAATACAAAATCTACATAATGTAAAAAGAGTCCTCACAGCAGCCATCATTATAAAGGGTGAGGAGGTTTTTCATTATCAC